GGGAAGCGCCGCCCGGGCCGCCCCGAGGCCCGGCCCGCTCCACTTTGCGCAAACTTGTTTTTCTAAGGTCGGCGCTGCCAGCTGCCTACGTCGTCCTCTTAAGGTGGACTGGGGAAGTTGCGGCCCGACCCACCCCGGGCCCCGGCCGCGGGGAGGCTGGAGACGGGCGGCGCGGCCCGTGGCAGGGAGGGGCGCTCGGGGGAGGAGGGGGGGTGTCTGCCTTTAGCCCCTCCCCAAGGGGCCCTGCCCTCCCCAGATCCCAAAGCTGGAGGGGGGGGTGGCTGGGGCTGGAGGGTGCGTGCGGGCCCCGGGGACCCTGGTCTGCCCGCGCTGGGCCGAGGTGAAGCAAAAGCAGGAAGTGAATGCAAGGGAAGGGGGAGAGGAAGGAGAGAGGGATGGTACAAAAATAGCGCGTGTGTAGGAAGGACTTCAGTGCCGCCTGGAAAAGAGGCGCTGGGGGAGAGGAGGGGAGCAGGGGGGGGCAGGGAGAGCGGAGGGACCGGACCGGCTCCCCTGGGCAGGGGGGTGGGGGTGGTCTCTGGATGGGGGCCTGAACTTCATCCCGGGCAGACTCGGGGTGGGGAGGGCCCAGACGGGGGGGGGTCAGCTTTAGAGGAAGAGGAGCAGGAGGAGCCTGAGGCCCGGGGTCCCGGAAGATGGAGCTCTTCTGGAGGGAATGCCCTGTTTACCAGCAAAAGCCAGGTCAACGCTGGGATCCGCCGAGCAGCGGGTCATCGGGCCGAAGGCTCTGGTGGGAGGAAGGGGAGTTCGGGACCCTCTACTCCTCCTGGCAGAGTTTCCGAGCTGGAAGTAAGCTCTGAGGTAGCCAACTGCATCTCACCGTTTACGGGACTTAATGAAGCAAATTGAGGGGGAGGGGGTCCTGTTCCACCTGTGACTGGAGGCTCTCCGAAGGAGGATGCTTGCCTAAGGCTACACAAAGAGTCCTGGGGTAAAAACAAAAAAGCAACCACTGTGAATCTATAGTACGCACTAGACACTGTGTTGAAAGTGAACTGTACAACTTGTGGGTGGGGATAGGAGGGGAACACTGGGAGAGAGCACCGTGAGGAAAAGGGAGACATTGCCCAAAAGGAAATGTACTCTGCCTGACTTAGGTAACTGTAACCCCTCTGTACATCACCTTTATAAGAACAATTACAGAAATTAACAACAATATGAGCCAGGCCCGGGTGGTTCATGCCTGTAATCCTAGCTACTCAGGAAGCTGAGATCTCTAAGGATTGAGGTTCCAAGCCAGCCTGGGCAAGAAAGTCTGTGAGACCCCACCTCTCCAATTAACCCCCCCCCAAAAGCTGGAAGTGAAGGTGTGGCTTCAGTGATAGAGCACCAGCCATGAGTGAAAAAGCTAAGAGATAGCACCTAGGACCTGAGTTCAAGTCCCAATACCAGCTCAAAAGAAAAAAACAGATATGAGATTTTTTTTTTCTCTCAGACTAAGGACCTCTGCAGTGATTCCCCTCCTTCCTCAGGCCTCCTGGAAAAATGTTTGGTTCTGCTTTTTTGCCAAGACAGAGAGGCAGGCGGGGCCTAGCTGTTCTGAGCAGGGCCCAGTGTCTCTGGTTGGTAAACTTTTCTTAGGTTTTCTGAGCTGTGAGAACTGGGGAAACACTTGGTTGTTTCCCAGCCTCAACTTCCTCATCCAAAATGAGGCAAAAGGGGATACCAACCTAGAAGGGCCAACATGAGGCTGAGCTGCCTTATACTACATGCACCTAGCATGATCTAGCATGCACCAAGGAGAGTGTTGGATAACCCCATGGTTCTGGGAGTTATTGGAAGTGCAAAGGAATTTTCGTTTTCCTGGGCATGGGAGATTATCACAGGAAGAACTCACATTCTGGGGGAGGAAACAGAAGTAGGAAAGAAGGAACAATGAATGAACCCAGCAAATCGGTTTAGAGAGTGAGGGGCCAAAGTGAGCCCATTTAAGTTAGGGCAGCAGGTAGATGAAGTCCTCCCTTCCATATGGAGGCTGAATCACAGTAAAGCCAAGACCTAAGAACAAAAGGTCCAGGGAGAAAAGACACAGACATAGACCAGGGTCCTGGGGTCAATTTAGTTGGAGGCTGGGTGGCTTTGAAAGCTAGGTAGAGAACCTATGTTTATTCTACAGATTGGAACCACTGGAGGGGTCCAGGCAGGAGAGTACCAGGTCTGATTTGTGTGTTCCAAATGCTTCTCTACTGGGGGGGGGGTAGGGGTGGAGGGTTGGGAAGAGGGGATCAGACAATGGAGGTATGAGGAAGGAGGCATTACCCTGGGGTCTGGGGCCATCCCAGTATCAGAAGTGGGCTGCAGGGAGACTCTCCAGCTTTGCAGGTGCATGGTAGGACCATCAAGGTGTCCAGAGAGACTGACAAAAATCAGTCACCAGACTATGTTTAGGGTAGAAGGGTGCTGGGCCTCCGGCTGAGGTCAGAGATGAGGCAACCTCCTGCCCTGGGCTTCCAGAAGGCTGTGTGGCTAATGGCATCCCTGGACACACACACACACACACACAGACCTGCCTGGGATTAGGAACCTTGGGATTAGCAAGGATAATAATCGAACCACCTGCTATTTATACACAGCACCTTTGTCAAAGGCGGTCAGCAGTGCTTTCCCTCCCAGGGCCTTTCTCATCCTCACCTCTAACCAAAGGGCGGGGCTTGCTCTCTGACTACATAAAAGCTCCCCTGTGCCCAGCCACTGAGCTGAGAACACAGGGAGGCCCATGGACAGATGGGTAAAGCAAACAGGTGGGGTTCAGCCTGTCTGGTCACTCCAGGGAAGATTATGGCAGACCATTGATAGGGATCAGCAACTCATTCCTACAACAAGACTAGCTAAGCTGCCCTGAATCCAAATCTAACAGCCTCCATACACACATCATCCTTCCTATACACTTACCAATATTTATGAAGCATCTACATCCATACACTTACCAAGATTCATTAACCATCTCCTGTGTACAGACACTGTGCTAGGAAAAGCAGTCTAGTAGAGGAAACAGACAAACCAACAGGTAAGGTATTTGGTCCATCTGGTAGACACAGGTGGTGGAGGGAGGAAAGGACCTGAGCATTAGTGACCATGACAAGGACAGGAGCAGGTATGATTTTCTCTAAGTGACAGGAGCTGTCTCCTGGGGGGTCAAAAGGGGAAGCCAGTGGCCACTCCACCCCTGCCCTGGCTTCGGACCCTTTTCCTCCTGGGTGTTGGGATTCTGCCTGGGAATCCTGCAGCCTCGGCTTCTCACCACATCCAGGACCCCAGCCAGTGCTCAGTACCAACACTGCTTCCACCATCTCCCCATGGCCCCCCTGTTCCTCCCTCAGCAGCAGCCTGAGGGCTGCTTTTCCACACAGCAGATGAGACCCTTCCCCTGATGTCTCAAGCTACCAGAGACCCGGACAGGCACAGGCAAGGAAAGATCAGGGGCTCCACAAGCCAAGACTCAGGGAATTACACTCAGGCAACTGAGCTGAGAAGCATTGTTTTCAGTTTTGATCTGTGAATAATAATAACAGGAAGCCACTAGTGGAGCAGATGTCAAAGCAACCATGTTAGGAAGCATCGGGGGGTTTGATTCTGAAGGATGGGCAGAGGCATCCTGGCATGTACCGGGCCCTCCCATACACATCCCTCATCTCATCACAGCCTCGACTTCAAAAGATCCCAGAGGTAAGAGAAGAAGCCAGAGACAGAAAGCAGCTTGACGGGGCCACTCAGCTTGGGCATGCCGGGACCTGCGGAGATCCAGCTCCGCTTGGCTTAGCTTTGCCCACGCTTGGCTCCTGAGTGCCCATCTCCTTCGGCTGGCATCAGCGGGCAAGCCTGCCAGGCTGCCTTTGTGTGGGGCCTGTCAGGAGGCTGGAGCTGCCAACGACCTATTTTTCTGGGCAAGAGGAGCCATTTGGAGTTAGAGGCCTCAGCTATGGGGCCAGAACAATAAAAAAAATTTTTTAAAAATTAAAAGAAAAGCACAGACTCCTGGGTTGCCTGGACTAGGGACTGGCTGGTCCAGAAGGGAAGCTGCTGACCAAGCTGGGGGTGGGTTAGGGAAGGCCTGATGAGCCCTGCTTGTTGTCTGACCCTGAGGTGGCTCATCACCAAAGCCCATCTCTGGGGGTGGATGCCATTGTGTAGCTATGAGAACCAAAGCTTGGGGTGGGGGGAGGGGCAGGGGATTGGGGGAGTGACTTGCCTCAGGTTCAGATTTGAACTTCATTCCTCCCGAAATAATCATAGTTCATCTGTTTAGCATCTTCTGTGCCTTACAAGCTCACTCTCATGACTCACGATCCACCTGGGAGGAGGCTCGGCTCGTAACTCCCTCATCTTACAACTGACACAGCTGAGACTTTGAGGTGCTCCCGCTCACAGGCCACCTCCTCAGTGAGGCCTGTTAAATTCTCATCCCGGTTTTTGTCTTCATAGCCTGTGTTGTCACCTGTCATTGTTGATTAAACGGCATGTGTACTGCAGTTTGTCAGTCTTCCTAACCAGAGACTGGTCAGTCCAGCCCAGAGGCTCTGCAACTGGCTCTGGAGGCAGAGTCAGAGCTGAGAGTTTGAGCCTAGGCTCCGCCTCCAGAGATGCCCATGCCTTCTAGGGCAGATGCGGCCAAAGATATTATTGTAATTGTTTTGTTTTTCCCTCCCCAGGGCCTTCAGTAGTAAACAATAGGGGCTTTTTTTTGTTTTTTTTTTTTTGCTTTTTGCCAGTCCTGGAGCATGAACTCAGGGCATGGGCACTGTCCCTGAGTTTCTTTTGCTCAAGGCTAGTTCTCTACCACTTGAGTCACAGCACCACTTCTGGCTTTTTCTGTTCATGTGGTACTGAGGACTCGAACCCAGGGCTTCATGCATGTTCTCTACCACTAAGCCACATTCCCAGCCCTGTTTTTTTGGTTTGTTTTTAAGTGACCTGCCCCATTTACAAGAGAGGGAATCAGGGGAGCAGAGATTTGGGGATTCGAGGACAGCATTCTACAAATCTGTGCTTCAAGTCACCCCACTTTATAATCACCCCAACTTTCAGCCACAGCTGCCCAGAAATCAGAGCTGAAGTTCTACCACTTGAGTGGATCTCAGCCTTGCCTGGAGCGATGTTAAAACACAGGCCTCAGGGCCCTGCCCCAGAGTGGCTGATTCAGTAGATCTCTGGTAAGGCCTGAGGATTGCATTCTAACAAGGCTCCAGTGCCTGTTCCAGCGAACACACAGTTGAGAACCACCAAATAGACTGTTCTCAAGCCCAGTTGAGAAGGTTCATGAGCTCAATCCCAGCATTCTGGCTGGTTGGCCAGTCTGTCCATCCCTCTGGATCCTGTCTCTACTGAAGAAGGCGGCAAAGAGCAGGACAGCCCCAGCTCAGAAACCACAGCCAGCGCTCCAAGGCTAGGCTGTGACAGATCATCCAGCCAGACCCAGAGGGAGCCGTGCGGTAATTAGTGCTTTCCTAGTAAAGTCAGAGACGAAACCATCCGGCAAGCAGGCAGGCAGGCAGGCAGCTAGTCTGCTGGAGCTCATCAGGGGTGGGTGGCGGCGCTGTCAGGCCCTAAACACTTCTTAAGCTCTGGGGGTCTGTCTCCACTCAATGCTGAGCCCAGCTGTGCTGAGCCAAGCCTTCCCCGCCAGCTCTGGGTACAGCAAGGAGGGGGGTGCTGTCCCTGAAGGGTGGGAGGTATTGGCAGAGAGCCAGTTGTCTCCACGTGCATCCAGAGATCTG